CAACCAGTATAGCTAGTGCTGCTAAGTTGTCCGACGAACAACATCGACCAAAAGAACATTTGGGTGGGTCGCGCAGTACTCAAACTGGTTGTCTGTCTTCAACATCTGATCTGATCACGCAAATAACTGCCGGAATCGAACCTACCACATGTTGCACGGCAATCGGTTGCCAAAATAATAATCTATAAGTATCAGTTCAAATTCATAATCTAATCCAAGTTGAAATGTTTGTTTTTTTTATTCTTATTCCTGTGAAAGTTCTAAAAGTGTCAGATTTGTTTATAGCGTGAAGATATGAGTACTTTGTGACACAAGCGCCAGTAGGTAACGGCAACATGACACTTCTCTCGCTTTCCTGAGTCAATGTTGCAAGAAATATTATTTATAATAACCTATCCATTTTAAAGCCTTCATAACTTCATACCTTCAAAACAATAAATTCAAAGCAGAATTTAAGGTTGCTTTTATTGAAAACTAGGTACAGTCAAACGACGATTTTTTTAGATAGTTAGGTACATGTTTTTTCTGTCAGTGGAAAATCATCAAATGCGTTCTCCCGCACTGGGTAGGGCGTTCCTTTTAGGCCGAGGCCGAGGTGCTTCATTGCGCCTACACCGCAACCCCGACTGAACATTGGCCCTGTAGGGCCCCGTCTGCCCGTCTGTAGTGGTCTATTGGCTCTTTGAGGCGCACGCGGAAGCCGCATACCTGCGCTTACGGTGACTGGAGATAGTCTCTCGAATTCTTTACATGCTAGAGTCAAAGATCATTCGCTTCGCATTCTTCTCTAGAACTGCACAGCATGAATTCCTTGACCAAGTGCATAACATGATTGGGAGTAACTCGGCATAGTAGGTACCTACTTTGCGTTGAAACTCGGGTGTAGCATCCACTTTGAATCGGATTACATTTATTGTATACGTAGGGAAGCAGGTGACCTACCCACGTACGACAATTTGAGTTAAACAAATAAACAAAGCGTTGTGACCTCAACGAGTTCCATCTTACTGGGAGCGCCAAAACGAACTGAAACATGAAGTTAAGACGCCAACCACCTAAAAATGCTAATAGGACCAGTACTGTCCACAAATAATATCTGTCTATTTATGTTGTTATTAAATCTATCTAAAACCATGTTCTAACCCCTTAATCATAATTAGCATCAATTTTAATATTTCATGCGTTCACAGCATTTAATTTTAATAAACTTTATTGACGACCCGTACCGAGGCCAAGCTCGTGAGAAATAACCATTGTCGGTATAAATTGTAACTACAATAATATTTAATTTGCATTTTATTATCGTTAAGTATCGTGAATCATTCGGCTGCAAACAGTGACATAAACAAAAACAAAGTTTGTAACTATGTAATAGTAGTCTTTTTTATTCACTAAAATTCTCATAATCTGAGGCAACCAGGCAGTATAAAAACGCGGGGAAATTTGGTGTTTGGTGTTGTAATTTTTCACAGGGAGACATTGACACTGCCCACGCGTTTTACCAGAAGTTGACAAAATGTGGTAAACTTATGCAAATCTTTGTCTAAATATTTATCACTAGCCACTTCTGAACAAAGCCTAATTAATTCGACAATGAGAATAATATAGATACGCTGAATTACCAACATAGATATACTTATATGCATTGCATGAAATGACAGCTCTTCTAATTTTAAACCTTCATCATAAATAAATGTTGAATTTAACAATAACCTTTGTTAATTTTATGCCATTTCAGAGCACAAAAAATATATCAGCCTGACCTCTCGTCCGTTTCAGTTACGGTTTTTCCTGTGCATGCTTATTTCGTAGGTTTTAAACATAAATAGGTGTAATTCGGTAAACTAAGATACCTACCTACCTAATGATAACTGGTAAGCGTTTGTAGTTTATCGCAACTCTGTCCTCTCACAACAGCTGGACAATGAACCGTCCTGCTGTAATTAGTCTAAAATACAAGACCATTTAAAATTTTGGAGTTCCTTAATGATCTTTGTATTTTGTAAACAGGTCGACTTGCTAAATAAGTTTCAAACTAAAATTACACCCATTTCAGGTGAATTTTAATATTTTGTTATTGTTTTTTATTATAATTATTTTTTTATGCAATTCCACTTCGTCTGGTCCACCATTTTCGTATTCGTTTAGAAGCTTATATGTTTTGAAAATAATGAGACTATTTAAAATGTATGTAGGTACATAGTGTTGTACTAACTGTAACTTTATCGTTTATTTTTCAATTGGCAATTTCGTTTGTGCGTATCAAGTAATTTCAAAATATGGGTCATTTGGATTCAAAACAATAGCGAATGGTTATCTCAAATCTAGACTTGTGTATGAAGATCGAGTAGGTAGATACTTAACACTTAAGTAGGTGTAAGTAGGAATAACTAGATCCAGGAGGATCCATTCAGAACGATTTAAAACCTTGAACCCGGGTAGATTAGACCTAAAACTATGACAAGTCGCCAAGGTAGGGCAGGAGCATTCTAAAATTATATACTTACATATACCAGTGACCTAACTACGATCCCCAAGGCGCCTTGTCTAGCGTGGGGATTAGATTTAGCAAAATATTTTTTACCTATTTTCTATTCCGTGCTTCTAACCATACCTAAGTATAAAATAAAAAAGGCACTGTTGCCGGTAGGTACCAAACCAATCTAATCAAAGACAATACCTAGGTATATAAATATACTTTTACTTCAAGTGTAGTAGAACCATGCTTCGGCATTAATGGGTTAGATCGACCGGAGCGATACCACGGTTTCATAGAAAACCGGTGTGAAAAACCGGAGGTTGGACCTCCTTCTTCCCCTTCCTCAATCCCTAATCCCAATAAGGTCGCCAACGCAATCATTACCTACTCCTTGGTGTTGCAGATGAACGGCGCCGATTGCTTACCATCAGGTAATCCGTCTGCTTGTTTGCCGTCCTAAGACATGAAAAAGTACATACCTATAGCATTTTAGTTTTACAAAGGCTACCTTAACTGTAATAAAAGAACACAGATGTCATATTTACATAGGTGTCTACACATAAATGAACAATAACAAACCTTGCTTAACAATTAGCTGCATACGAATACCGTACTTCCACTTCCTTCGCAGAACGTCGCAGGCAACTTCCATCTGGTCTTGACATTCGCTAACTCGACTAATTTCATTGCAACAGACCATCGGCCCTCTACTCAATGAACCATGCATTCGGCACTCGGCGTGTAAGGTCCCTCTTATTAACGCAAACTTTGAATGAGAAGCATTCATTTAACGCAAGTGATGCGTTACGAAATCAGTTCATGGAAGGTGTCCACGACCGGCATGATCACAAGGTTTCAGCAAAAAGTGTCTTTATCAACCATTAATGCGTCATGTAATTTTACGTACCTATTCTTCTAAATGTTACCGAATCTGAACTTAAGAAACTTATTTAAAGCCTACCTTGTGTGGGAGAGCCATTCACGAGTGGGTCGGCCCGACTGGATTGATACCACGAAGAAAACCGGCGTGAAACAATCACACCGCTGTGTTTCACCGTGTACCTAATCAAAATTAGCGGAGGCCTAATTTTTCCCCTACCCCCATTCCTCCCTAATCCCTAAATCTCTAAAATACGAATCCCCTAAAGACTGGCAACGCACTCTGTACCTCCATCTTTCGGTGTCGATTGCTACCATCATGTTATGTCATATCAATGTCATGAGCAATCGTCTGTTCGTTTGTTCTCGACCAATCGTATAAAAAAGTTAAAAACGAATTATATTCCCTTTAACCAATATGGGTATAATTCCTGAACTTTAATCAGTTTATTAGATAAAACTTCTATTGAATAGCACTTAGCAAACCTGCCTTTTGTTTGTGTCATCAACTCGTCATTATTAAATTCTAATTACAGAATGGCAAAGCTCTATCATCTTTGTTGCAAAGCATTAGAGCATTTAATCAGTTGATCCGCATGATTAAACATTAATTTCCATTCAATATAAGTATATAATGTACTATACATTAGCCGTTCCGTATTGACATCATGCCAACTATAGGTATCGCTACATGAAAATGTATGAAGCTTAGATTTTATGTATATGTATGCAAACTGGTGGATCAATATTATTGCCGCGTTTCCGACACACGTGTTTGTTTACAAAACACAGTTTTAATTCAGTGCACCTTAGTAACCGTCTATGGTTCTCTCGACCTAATTGTACGCTGATAAAGTCAACTAAACACTAACTTTTAATTAAAAGTTGAAACATTTTATTTACTAAGTTTAAACACAAAGAGTACATTGCGGAAACGTTCCAAGTTTGTATGCAATCACTTGAATAAGTTATCTCAAATCTACGACTAATATGTTTGGATTAAGATTCAAACATTACAATTACAATGGCTACAATTGATATATGTATAAGTACTCCAATGTCTTATAATTATTGAACACTTTAATCCTCGAATACTGCGAAAGGCACTTACTTAAAAGTCGTTATTAAATCTAACATAAATTCCTAATTTGTTAAAATGCAAAGCGTCAAATTGAAAAGGCCTGTTTTTATACTGGTCTCATAGATCGGCTGTTTTTGCAATTAACAAAATACCCACTAACAACTCTTATACCTTTGTATGTGCGACATACTTTACCAATAACTCATAGATGACAGTTATGAATGTTATGTTTTTCCTTCAGAAGTTAATAGTTACCTGTATTTGTAACTATTAACAACATGACGTAATTAGAGTCCAAGGAAATTAATGTGTGTGGCACTTAAATGTGTGCAGTAAACTATGTGTTTTATGTATGTGTCACAAGATCATTATTTTAAAATTAACTCCAATCTTCCACTTATCTGTTGGAGCAACGAACTTCCTACAAGTCAATAACTACCATGAAATTACGTCTTTACCTTGGTATGTCATTAATTCTTTTGTTTTCAAACAACTTAGCAATTTTGATGTGAGAAAACGCAAATGTAATTGAATTAGGGGTAATAATTAAAATACATGGGAGTCGTTCGTTATTAAGACGAAATATATGCAAAAAATTTATTAGTATTCTTATTCACTTAATTATAAAATAAATGTCTTACATACACTCGCACTAAAGGTGGTTTAAAAGTTCGTCAGTCATTGTTCATCGCGGCATTATGTACAGGACATGACGATGAATTTGTTCTGCCGTCGCCAGACATGGCATTCAAGATTATCACGCGTCGTTGTATAAATAACTTATTCACTACTTCGTCGGACTGTGTCTCGGTGTCCGTAAATCTCTGGTCTTATCCGGCCACCTGCCGGCTGTGTACTGTACGTATCCGGGATCCGTAGGGGTGCCGGATGCTCTGCCTTCCGTGTCCGTAGTTTCTTTCTCTTCTATTGGCTCCATGGGAAAAAGAGCCGGCGTATCCGCCCTCTTTGACCTTGTCGACCCTCGCAAGTAGTCTTCGAGTTGTTGCAAAGTCGGTGACGGTACTGTCTTGGCTCTAGTCGGGGATTTGGACCGCTTTTGTTCATAACTAGGTGACATTTCATCGTATAAATCTTTTAATCGGCCAGTCTTCACTTTGGCAAACACGGGCGTCTGAGGTTCAGGCAAGTAGTCTTCTCTCACTGAAAGTTTTCCTGCAAAGTTATCTAGGTAGTCTCTGAGGTACTTTTCATTAAACTTGGCTAATTCTTGCTCGTAGTGGAATTTATCAGGTATAGACAAAGGCTCGTTCAATCGCACATAATTTCCAGCTTCTAAGCCATTGCGTATTGAACCGAATTTAGATTTTTGTAATTCATCTTTTTCTAAAGTATCACCAATATTTGGGTAGCTCGTTTTCGACTGTGCGAACAAAGTCATTTCTTCTTTCTTTGTATCTTTATCTGGTAAATTCTTCTCCAAATCCAAGTCTTTTGGTCTTTCGGGGGGAACATGTCCGTTAACGTGGCCATTGGGTTGTCCATTTGTTTTGCCATTGGCTAAATCAGCTTTAGACAAGTTTCCATTTAAGTTCGATGATGAGATTATCGATACTTTCTTTTCGCTTTTGGGCGATGACACGATACCGGTGTCTGTTTGCGAGTTCTGCGTGGTCGTGTATATCCGAGGACCCATGAGGTCTATGAGGAACAAGGCTGCGACGACTAGCGAGAAACTGCCGAGGACTGATGCATTCACTACTAAAGATCTCGGTACTGAGTCAAGGGACGCTAGTTCTAATCCACCTGTGAATAAAAAAATACCATTAAAACATGATCAGTTTATCTCAACGCAGTCAATATTTTCTCAATTTAGCTCTTGTGCTATTGGTTTTAAAACACAAAATAATGTGACCGATGCAATGACCTTAATTTATCGTTATGTGTGATGTAGGCAAGTCTCGTAATAGCACACTTTCGACATTAATTTTGTTAAATCGATTGTAAACGAAAGCTTTGAACTCGTTGAGCGTTTAATTACATATTTTGTAATAGTTTGGTTTGCATGCTTGAAGATGGTTTAATAGACTGTAGAGTTAGATCAATGAATTGGTTTAACTCACAAAATCGATGGCAAGTATTTATTTGTGACTATAAAACATTACGACTTTTCGTTTTTAATGGACACACATGTTACTTTTAACTCCTAAACTAGAGAACATCATTCAGTTCCGATTAAAAAATATACCTACTTGTCTTATCAAACATTTCGATAGTTCTAAATACCGAATCATGTACTTATATTTTCCCGAATATTCTCAGTAAGATAAGATCACAAAGTCTAAAATTGAGCACGTAGCGCAGTTATGATATAATACACAAATAACTTACCAAGGATCAAGAAGAACAGCATTCCGAAACCGAGGAAGCATCCCTCAAGTATCCGCCTCCCTTTCGGTATCTCCTGGAAGATGCGCGCCATTATCAGCCCGAAGGTGATGATCACGTAGCCTGATGACAAAAAAATATTATTAACTATTAAAACTTCGTAGATAAGCTAAAATAGCCAATTCATATCTACCCGAGAAGTCGCAACATTTTAGAGTCAAGGAACAAGACTTTCAGAGATTTTCAATTTGAATCCTATTCCCTACCGTGATAGCTCAAAATCTGATATACATTGTATCCCTTTCCCTCCCTCCCTCCCTATTTAATTTCGTGGGTCAAGGTCATGGGACCCATAACTAACTACATTGTAAAAAGTGGGTATCGCGTTTATTACCGGGCGGCGCAAAAAGGCTTTGTATCAAGATGTCTTTGACGAACAGAAACACACATTAAATTTAAAAAGACAGAAGCAAACATATCTTGGTATCTTCAAGTATCAAGTTTTAAGGAAACTTGCGGTAGGTAGGTATGTAATTTGATAATATTATGTCTGTTATGACTAAGACGGACGGACACACGCGACAGTGACTAATTTATTGTAGACATCAAAGTCAAACTTAAATCTCCCATTGTTAGGCATTACTCACATTACTAAGCTAACAGCACATTATGTCCTGCGAACAGTGGAAGGTGATTTTCCCACCAAAGTGAATAAAAGATAATCTAACAGTAAATGTCATCAAAACAGAAAGAAGGTACCAAAGAGTTTGAAGTAAGTGTCTAACCAAATACATAATAATTAACAATGAAAAAAAAATGAGTAAAATCACGCTGCTTGATTACTGAAACACAGCTTACCTATTCTAAACTAGCTTTTATCCGCGACTCCGTTCGCGTGGAATAGTGACTTCCTGCAGATTCTTGGTATATCCTTTTATCTATCTCTATCTTATCCTATGTCCTTTCTCGAGTTCCAAACTATGGCTGTACCAAAATTTCACAGAAATCGGTTCAGTAGCTGAGGCGTGAAGAAAAGACAGACAGAGTTACTTTCACATTTATAATATTAGTTTAGATTAATTACTACAACATCGAGAGCCTACGAAAATTTACTGTCATATTATACGCCGAAAAAGCATAAGACAAAATTTGGCATAATAAACTACACATGCCTACTGGTAAACATTGGAGTTTTATACTTCAGAGATTAATTTATATTTGAGGCGACATATTTAATTTAGATTTGAGGTGGCGAATCTCTACCATCACCAATCTTTTACACAACTATGAATCGAATTCAATTAGGTGAGTAAACAGAACTTTATCACCAATTCAAAAGGTTAATTTAAGAATTATTTAATTATGTTACTATTAAACTTTAATAGATTTCACTGATAACATATTTTCCAAGTAATTGCAGGAAAAATCTGGAATAGAAGAATACCATGCGTCGGCATTCGCGCTTGCCGGCCTCGACCGGAGTAATACCACGTCTTCACAGAAAACCGGCGTGAAACAACATTTACGTTGTGTTTCCTCGTGTGAGTGAGGTCACCGTAGGCCCAATGCCAATCCTCAATCATCAAATCCCCTATCCTTAAATCCCAACGGTCTGCTCGTTCACGTATATCGGACTCTAATAGACACGATATCTTCCAGATTACAAACACCATAAAACGACGACCTCGTCGAAACGCGAACACATAACGTGGTTGCGTAACATGCCAAGCCCATGGCGAGGTGTAAACTTTACTATGGCCACTACAATTATAGTGAATTAATTGTACAATGCCAACAAAGACATGCCACAAAATTGACCCATAATCATTGGGTACATAAGTCCAGGGATATGGGAAATTCTGGGACGAGACCTGCATTTTGTATAGTAAAGTGAGTATTAGGCCTCAACTTCAATCATAATTGATCAAGCATCGTAATTAAATAACTAATCCTTCAAATTACATATATAATTATTTTAATACATCTAAGTAGATATTCTAAGAAACATTGGAATGCGAATGATTTTAAAGATTTCTGCTATCTTAATATTTCGTTATCGAGATAAAATAAAACATCAATGTAGGTCAACATTGACCAATAAGTATTTTCTTTTAGTACTAAAACACTTGAACCAATAGATAACAGGTAACCACAGTCAATACTAAGCATAATTGTACACACACATACGCCTTAGTATCTAATCTATGAATTTTTGCACTTTGTATGTGTGATAGATTTCTCTCTAAGAGGGATATGGCCAAAATTAAACAAAAAATAAGAAGCTGCTGTTCATGCTTCTATGGGCAGCCTTTGCTCAGTTGTGGATGCCTTCTGGCTTAGCATGATAAGAACTGACCCTGGCGACGTACAACGGACGCACGCTACGGCTTGACTCGCATCTAGCGCAACTAGAGGTGGAACTTGGGAAGATCAGGTGGCACATACTAGGGTTATGTGAAGTCCGAAGAGAGGGGGAGGACACGATAACTCTCAAATCAGGCCACCTGATGTACTTCCGTGAGGGAGACCAAAAATCCCAAGGTGGCGTTGGGTTTCTGGTTAACAAGTCCCTATCTAACAATGTTGTGGAAATGTCGAGTGTGTCGAACAGGGTGGCGTACCTCATTATAAAGCTCACCGAGAGGTATAGCCTTAAGGTGGTCCAAGTGTACGCACCGACCTCGGCACACTCCGATGATGAGGTGGAGGAGATGTTCGATGATATATCGAGGGCCCTCCACTCCACCACTAGGACTCACTTCAACATTGTTATGGGGGACTTTAACGCCAAAGTGGGAGTACAAAATTGCAGTGAATCGGTAGTAGGATCCCATGGGTATGGAAACAGGAATCATAGGGGGCAAATGCTCGTCAATTTCCTCGAACGGGAGGGGATGTTCTTAATGAATTCATTCTTTAAGAAGCAGCCCCAAAGGAAGTGGACGTGGCAAAGCCCCGACACTATGACAAAGAACGAGATCGACTTCATCATGGCGGACAAAAGGCACATATTCAGAGACGTCTCCGTGATTAATAGGTTTAATACCGGTAGCGATCACCGACTCGTCCGAGGCTCTCTGAATATCGACTTCAGAGCCGAACGAGTCCGCTTGATGAAGGCCAGGCTCCGACCAACCCTGTTTCAAATCAAAATGGGATCTGAAGCGTTTCAGTTAAACCTGGAGAACCGATTTGCTGCCCTGGAAACCACAACCGACGTTAACCGGAACCTTGAAAACGTGGTTCGAGTTCTCAGGGAAGAAGGTACGAGATTTTGTGAAATGCAGCGTAAGGGCAAGAAGTCGAAGCTTTCGGAAGAGACTTTAGGGCTTATGAAGAGACGACGTGAAAACCCACCCGTCACTTCGTCAGAGAAGCGGGCTCTAAACCGAGAGATTAGCAAACACGTGCGACACGATCTCCGGTGCTCGAATACCCTTGCAATCGAGAGAGCGATCGAGCAAAACCGGGGGCCAAAAGTGTTCGTACAATCTCTTGGAAGAAGCCACCTGACGAAGTTGACCACAGCAAGTGGAGAAGTCGTTGTCTCGAAGCCGGCAGTTCTTTCGGAAGTAGAAAACTTCTACGGCCGGTTATACGCTTCGCATGCATCTCGACCTGACCCCGGAAATGAGGACTCTAGAGCCACTTTAATACGCCATTACACCGAAGACCTGCCAGAAGTCAGCATTGACGAAATCGAGATCGCTCTTGGACAGCTTAAAAATGGAAAAGCCCCTGGAGAGGATGGCGTTACGACAGAGCTTCTAAAAGCAGGCAGCAAACCGGTACTCAGGGAGCTGCAAAAGCTATTTAACGCTGTCCTGTTTGAAGGGAGAACTCCAGAGGCGTGGAGTCGGAGTGTGGTCGTCTTATTCTTCAAAAAGGGTGACAAAACCCTACTGAAGAATTATCGACCCATTTCCCTTTTAAGCCACGTCTATAAGCTGTTCTCGAGAGTGATCACGAACCGCCTTGCGCGAAGACTTGACGAATTCCAACCACCGGAGCAGGCTGGGTTTCGGAGCGGATACGGCACCATAGACCACATCCACACAGTGCGGCAGATTATACAGAAGACTGAGGAGTATAATCAGCCCCTGTGCCTAGCATTTGTGGACTATGAGAAAGCCTTTGACTCGGTCGAAATCTGGGCTGTTCTGGAGTCCCTGCAGCGATGCCAAGTAGATTGGCGATACATCCAAGTGATGAGATGTCTCTACGAGGCCGCCACTATGTCCGTCCAAGTACAGGATCAGCAAACAAGGCCGATACCGTTGCATCGAGGTGTGAGACAAGGGGATGTTATCTCCCCGAAATTGTTCACAAATGCAATGGAGGATATGTTCAAGACGCTGAACTGGAAAGGACGCGGCATCAACATAAATGGCGAGTACATCTCTCACTTGCGATTTGCAGACGACATCGTCATCGTAGCAGAAACGCTGCAGGACCTACAACGGATGCTGAATGACCTGGCTGACTCTTCTATACGCATCGGCCTACGGATGAACTTGGATAAAACCAAGGTCATGTTCAATGAACATGTACTACCGGAACCGATTGCAGTACACGGCGCTGTTCTCGAAGTCGTTCAAAAATATGTATACCTCGGGCAGACATTGCAGATGGGTAGAAACAACTTCGAGAACGAGGTGAATAGAAGAATTCAGCTAGGTTGGGCAGCATATGGAAAGCTGCGTCAAGTCTTCACGTCGTCGATCCCACAGTGCCTAAAGACGAAAGTCTTCAATCAGTGCGTCCTACCTGTCATGACATACGGAGCCGAAACGTGGACACTGACGGTGCGGCTGGTTCACAAGCTAAAAGTCACTCAGCGAGCTATGGAGAGGGCTATGCTCGGCGTTTCTCTGCGAGATCGAATCAGAAACGAGGTGATCCGGCAGAGAACCAAGGTAATCGACATAGCCCACCGGATTAGCAAGCTGAAATGGCAGTGGGCTGGCCATATTAGCCGAAGAACCGATGACCGTTGGAGTAGACGAGTTCTTGAGTGGAGACCGCGTCTCGGCAAACGTAATGTAGGACGTCCTCAGGCAAGGTGGAGTGATGATTTGCGCAAGATGGCTGGCAGGAGCTGGATGCGAGTGGCCGAAGATCGATCCCAGTGGCGTGCAATAGGAGAGGCCTATGTCCAGCAGTGGACTGAAAAGGGCTGATGATGATGATGATGATGATGATAAGAACTAAGTACCTAAATAAATAACTGGGGAAGATTTAATCTTCCTACAAGTCTGTTGCACATAAAAAGACAGTGTTATACCAGATAAAACCTGCTCGATGTGCTTACATACATCTACATCGTATTATATGATTATGATACCTATACCTAATTATAATAGGTATGCGTGCAAGTACCTGCTGGCTGCTACACAAGTTCAATAATAGATATTACGTAAGTATTTATTAAAGTTGTTTACGCCTCCGTTCATAGATCACAACATCATAGTATATATATCTATTGGTTTAAGAGTCACGATTTTCTTTAGTTTGTAGAGATAGTAATACTTGGTTTACAGTAAGTAGAAAATAAATAAATACTTAGAGTAACTAATATTCTTTCCCTTCTATTTATAATAGGTCTTTACCTTTTTCATAGGAATCATATAAGTATCATATATAGGTAAAGACCTATTATTTCATTCGGGCGCAGTAGAGTGGGGAAGATGTGTTCAAGAACCCACCAGCTATACGTCAGCTATATTATGAATGAGAGTAGCAGATTCGATGCTATTTAGGTACTCAGAATTTCAAATTAATTAACTCAGTTACAGTTGAATAACGAACGTATCAAGTCGAGGACGGAGCGCTTTATACTCAAGAGTAGTGCTTGCAATTATTCGATCAACATATTTGTTCAATATTTAAGTTAGTTGTGGGCTTATAGGACCTAAGGTATGTAAGTAGGTATCGACTAGGTACTTTTATAGCCTTTCTGTTCTGGGTATTTCTTTTACGAGTCAATTTGAGGTTAATGATGTTAACACTTAACTAATGCTACGTCCTGTCGTATAATCTTACAACGACAGCGACAGACTTAAATGGCGGACTAATAGTCGGGAACTAAGTTCAATATTTATTACTTTCAATTACCGTTTCTAGGCGGCATGTTATAGACAAGTTCCTGCGTAAAGCTGTTCTAAACTAATAACTTTCTTACGTACAAGAAGTTTTACATCGGATTAAATAAAGTCAGGTACATATTATTGAGAAGATAAATAATAGAAAAACACTAAGCTATAGAAACTAAATGGGTAACTTTTCACTGATAAAATTCTGAATAACCTCTGGTATTAATGGCATTTAGCTCGCCTACTCCTAGACATTGCAGAAAACGTTTGTACAGCCCTTCAAGTAATAAAAGACTTCATAATGACAAGGTTTGAATATATAACGTCTTAAATGTTAGACTGCCTTCGTGTTTCACAGCAAATGCTCAAACTAAAGTATCCATAACTATGACCTCCTTAAAAATATAATGCAACTTGTCCTACAAAACAATCACGTACCTCCATATATGGCGTCTGCGAAGGCTCCTCCCACCGAGTCCCATGTGACAGAGGTAAGTAGCGACCACTCTCGCGACAGCTTCTGCAGCAGCAGAGCCAGCCGGGCCTCGTCATCTTGAGATATACGCTTCGTCACCAAGCAGGCGACGCACATCAACTGGGAAAGGAAATAAAAACGTTAGGGTATGGGCACTAGCCAACTACTCTCGTCTACTTTCTATCAAAACTTATTAACTCTAACTACAAGTCACCGCGTTTATGAAATCTACAAAAAAAAAAAAATAGGTATTTATTATCTTAGATACCTCTTAAAACTAAAGTCTTGTAGACCGGTGCAATGTGAATCGACTGGACAAACTTAAAGTAGAAGAGCTACCTACGTATCTAACTTTACAAATACACATAATTTTCTAATACAGAACTATTTCAATAAATACCTACTTACTACCTTTAAAAGAGAAAATTGCTTATTTCCGTAATTTTACTTGTTTTCTAAAAACCCAGAAGCATACAAAAACAAAAGACAATGTGTTCGTCGGTAACTAAAAACTCAGACCTTGTGTACGCGACACGCGTATAGGACATCCCAAAAGGAAATATCGCTATTGTCCCAGCAACAATAGGCGGGCCAGCAGTGGCGGTCCTTCGGCGATTGTCACGTGTGACGTCACTGTCCACCGTGGGACCGACATTGGAGAAGCGCGTGCGCGCCGCCACTTAATTATTGTAACTACACGTAAATAACGTGTGCGCTGAATACGGAAACGCTGACGACAGTAATTTTTAATGTTGCAAATGTGTCCATTTGCAACATTAAAAATTACTGTCGTCAGCTGAAAAGTTACTGTTGTCAAAATTGTGTAGCTATACACGCGCTACCTGCTTCACATGCATTAAAAGCTCGTTTTATTTTTAACTACTGCCCCATATCAAGATATTTTCCTGTGTCGTGGGTATTTACAAACATAAAAAATCACATGCACATCACAACAGGAACAACTATTTGTAAATCTCATCGAGTTGCAGGAATCAAACCTGGGACACGTTGCAGAGCAGCCTATTGTCCAGCTACCGCGGACCGTGCGGTAGGAAAGTATTATTTCTCTTCGTCGTATGGGTACATTGGGGTATATGGAGGAAAGGGTACGTTCTATTGAGAATGTAGTCTGATAACACTTTAATTCATCAAGCCCCAAGCGGGGACGCCTGCGATTCTTGAATTACCACCATTGAAAGGTTAATGAACGAGGTGGTTTTTAGATAAAATTCAATTAGATAAGTTTCTCACCTCAAAAAAAAATGCCATATTGATGAGTGGTGAGTGGAATCTCTTTTTGTTCATTAACATTATATTTTGTATCTTCGAGAGATAAACAGGTATCCTATCCTATACAACAATTAAGAGAGCATTGACACAGATACAAACAAGTAAATTGGTTAAGCAATTAAGCGCGATTATACTTAATTTCTTATACTTAAAGGATTTAGGATATCTATGTTAAACTTATTTTAATTATTTAGATCTCCGGTAGGTACCTACGGTAATCACGTAGGTATTAAAATCTGAAAGATCTTCGTACGCTACGATGATCTTCGAAACATCGTTCTTTCCTAATTGAAACTTCCACTGTTTATTGACTCTGTGATCAGTATTAAGTAAGCCAAATGCAAGCCATCACACGCGTATGCAATGAAGCTTACCTACAGCTACACCCGGTTAATGAGCTACGAGTCTTCCCCTTTAGGTCACAGGGAGCCGAGGACACTACACAAACATTAATCCTTTTCTGCAAACCACATGTTGAGTCAACAAAAGTACTAACCACAGCATTTGCAGTCTTGTTTGAAAAAAGATTGGCCTATGTCATGATAATAGAGCAATGGCGCAATCAAAGTAATCCATCAGATCTGTATAATTTACTAGACATTGAACTAGTCGCGCCCAAGACGGCAAATACTGCGTAATAATAGGTAACTGACAACTGATTGCTACAGATTAATAATACCTATGTATATATTTATAATCTTTATATATAAATAATAAAAATTATGGTACTTATTTTCAGTCAGTTTAGATTATACAATAGGTTATTGCTCTACCCACATATGGCATGAGAGGTACTTTATTTCTAGTATTTACTAGTATTATATCAGCTTTATCTTCATATGTATGTTAGTAAGTACATAGGTAGGTCCATAAAAGTTAAATGCATTAAAAGCGGACACCAGTAAAGGCTGGCTATTGTCTTATTGTTTACTGGTAGCGTCAACCATTTATCTTTTTCCCGCAGTTAAAACCCAAGTCTCTTTGTAAAAAACCTATAATCTTGTAATTTTGATAAACAAGTAAATATTTTACGGAAAAATTCAATAAATTAACCTACTTAGTAAAGAAGAGATGCTTTGATTTAGTCACGTATTGTATAGCTAATGGAATAAGTAAATTACGATTAAAAACGCACATGTCTACAATATTTCGACACTGATGGTTATAATTTATAGGATGACAGTTTTAATTAATTTACTATAAGTAATTATATATAAAAATCAATGCCACTGTTCATTGTAATGTTGTAACTCAACAATGCCGTTACCGATTTGGCTAATTTTGATGTGGAAGTATTTTGCTGTAGTTTCTTAATACTAACTTAATTCTACTTATAAACTTATGAAGTTACACGTCTCTACGTCTCTAATGCAATTTAATTTATAAGTAGGTATCTGATCTTCCCAAAATTTTTTCAACAATTTAACCTTCTTAAATGGTGATCACTTTAACACAACAAAAGCTTCAGAAAGGTCAAAATGACTGCAACAAAAGTTTGAACAAAATTTGATGCTTGTTCGCAGTCGCAGCCTCATTCTTATTGTATTTAAAGGTAGGTAGATATTCGAACTCTCCATTGTTTGTTACATGTACCTATCTGCTTAAAGAGCAACAAGTTTTATTTTTACTTGTGTCAATGTAATTGATTGAGGGTAAATATTAAATACATTATAGGTAGTTGTTTTTTATATAATTATTTAATCCGAATATTTGACAACATCAATTTAAAACTTTTTATCAAGAACCAAATTTTAAAATTGGTTTTTTTAATAAGAACTTTTGTCGCTAACAGATTTTGTACGTATTATGTGATCTATTGAATGTCGTATGGTTAGTAAACGCTTGATACTTTGTTATGCAACTACCTTACCTTCCAAGAATTTTCTCTGACCGACTAAGCATATTTACCTATCTACCGGTGTTGTAAAACAGTTGTCACTATGATAAGGCAGCAGGCTCAGCGTGAAAGTAAAACTGTTATCAGACGAGCTTATCAAAACGACCTAACGTGACTTGGTTATGAATAATAATTACCAGTATTTATGAAACATCGGGGGATTACCCACTAAACGGATAAATCTTCGACTTTTCACCGTACCTACCTACTGTACTTGCAATTATTAAATTTTCTATAAGTTAGCCTTAACTTAAACTTTACTAGTTTACGTAAAAGCTCTATGATTGAGGTATTAAATAATAATCAAGTATTTAAATCAATGTCTTATGTATTATAAAAAAAGTTTTTTTTTACAGATTGAGGAGTTTTATGTCACCGGAAAATAACAAGATCCGTAAGTTTATCAATTTACTAGGAAGTTCATAAACTTTCGTAAGATTCTAAAAGGGAGATAAATTGTAATATTTTTGTCTCGACAATTAAAACGCAATTCATAATAAAAAATAAAAAGCCAGCACAAAAACTTAAACTGTAAGAAGGCTACTAAGCAACCAATACTTATCCAATAAGCATGCTCACTATGTTACCAAATCAAAGAGGCTTGCATCACCGATCGTGTTGCAATATGTTAAGTTGTTACTTACGAACTCGACTATCTTCAGCGCGACCCACTTGTCGCATACCGCCATGGTCCGGCCGGCAGCTGTGGCTTGCACTAAACACACACGTCTCACTATTATCGAGTCACTCGGCCAGAGTTACGCCAGTGACATAACACACTCATAATATACAAGCAGACATCCGCGCGACGCGACCGCCGTGTTTTGTTTGAAGCTAGCGACCATTTTCACGGTGCGTCTGATTGAGTGACATTGAAGGAAAACTTAAGCGGCTCGGTGTGGGCGCGCGAGCTGCGGTCGTCTCAAGCGAGGCTCAACTGCGCACCTACAGCTTATCTCTCGCAGTAGCGTTAGTGAAGCTGCCATTCCAAAGCGAGCGAATAGCATAGTGGCGGTAACCAATCCAACACATTACAAGTAAGTTAAAGCAAAAAATATATAAAAGATAGTCATGCAATCAGAAATTGAAGGAAAGCTGGTAATTAAATAAAACAACGAGCACATTAAACCATTATACTTAAATTTATTAATCAATACTGGCATGCAATATTATTTATTTAAAAATCTCATAAAACATCGAGAGATAAATTCATATGGTCTCGTTACAAAATGTTCAGATTTTGTTAATCGCATTTAGATAATTTCATAATGCTGAGTTTATTCATTGCTGAGAAAACAGTTCGAAATTGATTTACTTAAAACCTGATTTTAAATAAGACTTATTCATACACAGAAATAGTACAATAACATGAACATTTATTTCGTTGAAAAAACTTCAAAAAATGCAGATTGCCAGTAGTGCAATAATCCTAACGCGGCCGACGACGTGACGGCCCGCAGTTGCCCTTAATTCATATTATCAATAACATTAAAACAATATTGTAGACTCATGCTTAAAATATACCTACCGATGCTGCCTTAAAAAAGCTTCAAATTTTTATTAATACATAAATAATTATGCCGTTCAATTGGATTCTTAATTAAAATACATTTAGGATTAAATTAAAATAATGTCTAAAATTAAAATGTTTAAATTTACCTCTCTTATGCATTACCTGGAGTGTAAGAGATAGATCATAACAACATGGTGATATAATAAAACATGAGTGAAACACTAACACAACTTACAAAGGCAAAGACAAATACATGTATTAGTTAATTATACTGTTTAAAAATTTGATTATAATTGATTCTGGTAATATTGAAAATCAAATACGGTGTACCTATATTCAAAAGTATGCATACCGAAGTCTGCAACTCAAATTAATGTCAAATACACAAACATTATACCATTCAGAATCGTAAATAATAGTGCTAAATAATGGCGATTTGATTTGTCCCGTTTTAAAAAAATGTAAAGGAATAAAAGCGAGATACCATTTAAATACTTTATTGTGTATTCATTGGTTTGTCTGCCATTAATTAATGTTGTAAAATAAATATTAGTAAACACGATTGAACATTTTTATTTAGCCTGTTACAATGACTGAATGGTAGCCTGTTTAGATATTAACTTCACTACATTTATACCAGTTATGTCGGAAATGTTAATAGAGCACACACCACTACCAAAGCTGAATTAGAGTGTAGTTTCCAAAGCAGACAACTAAATTCCATTGCAGTAATATTGCCGCGACAATTAGTATGTATTAGAATACAAAATTACATCCCTGAGCGAGCTCAGCCTGTTACAATTAACATGCTTTCGAAAATACACTGCGCACAGAAAGCTTTGCTACAAAACAAAATATTTCGGTATCTCCCACACTCCAACAAACTCACATAAGTGCAACATGCTAACGAGACAAACATTGTGCATCCTTAATCATGCAATAAATTAATCAACACCAACAAAACTTAAACGAAAACGGATAAACGGGACAGTTGTACATCATTTGTATTCATTTTCACAATCAACATCGTGTTCTTTACGAATCTTTCGTACCTGTTATTTGCCGTATGTTTTTCAGGACTTAGACATAATTTTCAAAATTTGAATTCGCATCAGAGCTGTGAATAATTTGCATGTCAATCAAGGGCCACTATCATTTATCAACACGATTGTAAAACTGTCCCGCGTTTTAGAACAAATTGCGTGCACACTCACTGGCTTTCTTTGCCGGGAGTGATGAACTCTTGCAGCGGATGGCGCGCTGTCCATGGATTGAAGTCACGCGGCTGCGGTGGAGTATGCATGCGAGGAGCACCCAGACCAGTTCCAGGTGCCCCAGGGGGCGCCCAAACACCAGCTTCATGACCTGCTAACCCCAACCCGCCTCCGAAACCTAGCGAAGTCATCGACGATACCAAAGACTCCATGCCGTTGTTAATACGGTTTGACCACCTGCCACAACAAGGAAACTTAAAATTTCCAGCTATGTTGTTAAAATACATTGTCCATCATAATAAAAGATGTTACGATGAAACGATCAACGACAAGTCAAAATTAAACTCAAGTCAGTACTTACTCAGCAGCAGCGGCGGCACTACGTTGAGCTTCGTGAATCATGCGCAAGCGTCGTGCTTGAGACCATGGTTCAAGTGTATAAGATGGCGCAGCAGGCGGCGGCGACGTAGTTGCGGGTTCTTCGGGTACCCGAGTCAACTCCACTCCACGTTCAGGGGTCCACCGTCCCACCTTAAAACAACGGGGAATTAGAGTTTTCAAACCAAAATAAAAATCTAAATTGTCAATCCATATGAATAGACAATTTTTTTAGTTTTACAAATAAATATAAATACCTCTCGATACTGTTTGAGCAGTTGTGGGGATTGCGGGAGTGACCAGTCCACAGCAGGTCTGGCGCCACATCCCCAAGCAGCAGCAGCAGCAGCAACCAAGGCCTTCCTGGCCATAGCAGCACCACGGTGAGACTTGTACTCAACGATTGCTGCGCACGAAGCAATCGACCGACGTATGCGCACTTCTTGCACTTCGTCCGTCAGTGCGTATAACAAGCGAATAATCTCCGCAGACGGGGTAGTTGGTGGTATACGCGATATAAATATGCGGCAGTTATTAATTGATGGACACACGCCTAAAAAATATTGGTTTTTATAACAAAAAGGTAAGACATCAATGTAATTATGTAACATTCCAAAAGACTATCATCACTCACCCAATTGCCAAGAAGGTCTTATCATGTAGTTGTTAAACATACGAATAGCATTGCTTGCTTCGGCATCAGTTGTGTACATCGCGAAAGCATATCTGAACAAGGAAAAAAAATATTGTACGTAAAACATTCGTTGCACGTATTAGGTATAAATGTTATAAATATTTTATTATAGGTGTTTACCCTCTATTCCAGCCAGAGAAGTTGATCATGAGTCGGAACTCAAACAGCTCACCAGCTTGTCGAAACAGTGGCACAAGAGTGTCTTCGAAGCAATCATGAGGGATTCTTCCAATAAACACCTACGGTTAATAAAGGGTATTAATTCCGAACGCAACAATTTGCTTGAAAGTTTAAAGCGAAAAAATTATTACGTGTAATATGAAGTTCAACATAAAACATATCCTAGCCACGTAGCAACATTTGAGATAACATCAGAACATGTTGAACGTCACGTGATGAATTCTGCTTATTATCCACTAGGTAACATTAGACGCACCAAGTGGCCCATTATTGCCCAAGTTTTCTTTTAGGAACCGATAAACGAACGCCAGTCATATCTTTCGTTCATCCAAAGATTGGTATCCACGAAGAAACCTAAGATTACCTAATATTATGATACCTATTTGATTGTAAGAAAAGGGCGTTAGTTTTGCGGGGAGGCTAATCCTTCACTCCCCATCAATAATCCTACACTCAAACGGCCTTGACTGTGGTATCTGGGCAACTGGCTGCCGTGCAACGTTTCGCGGGTTCGATTTCCGCACGGAACAACACTTAGAGTGATACACAAATTGTTGTTCCAGGTTTGGGTGTGTTGTAAAATTGTATGTTTATAAACACACCCACAAAAATAAAAAAAATAAAATAAAAAGTTTATTTCAATTACAGTAGGCATTTGACATATAATTGTTGGAGACCTCCTTTTAAGCAAACATTTGCTTGTGTTAGGAGACTCCGCTCTTCCACTTGTCTGACGTAATTGAAATTATAGGCTTAGATGCAGACAATGTAAATATGAAAGCTAGTTATAAAATATAATGTAATAAAAACAAATAGGTACTAAAGTAATCAAGTTAGAAGGTAAACAGGAAATTTACTGCCAATGGAGGAACACAATGTAAAAGTTAAAATAAAATATAGTTAAATAGGCATGTCACGCAATGCACGTTCTAAGATGTGTTGTGAGTGAGTGAGTGAGTAAGTGAGTGAGTGTGTGAGCGAGTGAGTGAGTGATTGAGTGAGTGAGTGAGTGAGTAAGTGAATGAGTGAGTGAGTAAGGTAGGGAGTGTGTGATGAATGAGGGCGTGTGTGAGTGAGTAAGTCGATGAGTGTTTACAAACATACAATTTTACACACAGGAGAAAAAATAGTATGGCAAAGTTTTTTTTAAGAAAAAATAACTAGTAGGTCAATACTCTCTATAGAGAATAGCAACTCGGCCACATTTTTTAACCTTTTGAACGCACATCGCGTATTATATAGATGGGCGTTGAAAAGGTTTAAATAAAAGCCTACTGTAATACAACCGCGATGTGTGGCAAGGGTGCTGCCTCAACTCAGCTTATATTCGTTTCTATAAATCTGGCTTACCCTCTACCTAGGTACAACTCGAAACAAATTCTTTGGTCACAAATGCTGAACAGCCATCAGCTAAGAATGTTTCGTGATCACAACCCTCTCAACTATTTAAAAATATATTATATGATTCTAGCTGTTCTTGTTGTTGTTGTTATTAATACCGAGAAAAAAGTTTACTGTTATAATAATTTGTTGTATTGATGTTTCGAATATCCGTATCCGTATCCGCAGATATGCAAGAGAAAAGAAAAATCCACAATCTGTATCCCTGTGCGTTACTTTTGACGTGGATCTTTTTCAAGTTATCAGGTGGAATTAATTTCATGTATGGTAGAAAGGCGATGGGGGCACACACTCCTAAATATCTATATGACGGCGCTGGCGACTGATTATGGATTATTTTTAATAACAAAGAAGATTGTATTGTCTTTACAGTTTATTGGTAACATTAAAATTGTTATGTAATTATGAGCGGGTAACCCCGAATGGAGTACTGTCACTACGAGGAATGGCAGCGGGCATCCTGTTGACCAGCCGAAGTGTACACGCTAACCTATTGGCTCAAAATCTCATTACATCTTATTGATTGTGTGATTGTGAATAAAATAGCGAGGAAACCAAATAATGCAAGCGTGCCTTTTTGAATTCCGGTCGTTACAACGCCCACGATAGAAAGTGACAACCATGACCGCCAAGAGTCTCCTTCTGACTCTCCCACATACCTAGTCTAGCCATAAATACTGTAACAAATAAAAAAAATTTTTTCTATTGCAAATAACATTTATTACTTTTACAGGTTAATACATAAATATAAAACAATTTAAAACATAAAAAGTTTATTCGAAGTGGTCTCCATTGGCTGCAATACAGCCCTTTAAACGTTGAGGCCAATAGTAGCACGCACTCTTTCCATGGGAAAATTCTTCACTGCCAATCGTATGGACTGCTTTAGGGAGTCCAAATTATCATGACGTTTAGACCAAGCCATCTCTAAAACTGACCATAAATCATAATCCAGCGGATTAAGATCGGGACTAGACGACGGCCAGTCTTCAGCTCTGATGAAGTCGGAAACGTTCGTTTCGAACCAAGACCGAGCTTTATGTATGTTTAGTATGGCTCAGTCACTCCTTCATAGCTATCACCCCACCAAACCATCACTGAAGTCGGATAATGCCCACGTTGCACTCTGTCGACTAATTAAGAAGCTTCCTTAGAGCTTTGAGCATAAATACGGTCAATTGTAAAAATTTTCTCATCCGTAAACAAAACTTTTAATCTGTGACCTCCCTTTGCGTACCGCTTCAGTAGTTGTTTAGATTTTATCACCCTATTCTTTTTTAAATTATCATTTAAAAAATGTCCAGTGCGTCTCTTATAGGCTGCAAGTCCTAAGTCGTCTTTTAAAATACGCGACATAGTTCTAGGTGCTATCTTCATCTCCCGAGATAAAATCTTTTGCTATCGGACAGGATTTCTTCGAATTCTTTCCCTTACTGTTTTGACCACCTTTTTCGTACGAACACTACGTGGACGGCCAGATCTTTTTCTGTCACAAACAGAGGAGGTCTCATTGTACCTATTAATAGCCCGGTACACAAACATTTGACTAATGCCAAGCCTGTGGAGAGTTTTACCAATTGCATTTGGCTCCATACCCACTTTGTGTAATGCAATCACAGCGATTCAGTTCTCTTTATTACCCCACTCCATTTTAATATCGCAAAATATTGAACAGTTTATTGGCGCCAAAATAAGAAAACACAATGAAAAATTATATAAAAATGACAGATTCCAAATTAAAATGTATTTTTAATTGTAACAGTATTTATGGCCAGACTATGTATATGTACATAAAAATTAGTCATATGTTATTGTCAGGAGAAGTTTCTGAAAGAAAATTTTTGAAAAGTAGAGGGGAGAGTTGGGTATTAGGGACCTTTTCATCGTAAGCAAGATGAGTGTACCCGTGCAAAGCGGGGGCGAGCTGCTAGTATCCTATAAAACACCGAGAGGCTTGGCTTCCCGACGTCCGTGCTCTAGGCAATTTTTTTGGTGCGGGGCAAATCAACAAATGGCTTCTCCCGACCAGGGTCGGGCGTGAGGGGTCTTGCTGACTAAAAACCCCCGTTCCTTCTCTTGCTTGCTCTGTGCCGAGGCCGCGGTGGCTCATTGCGCTTGCCCATACCTAACCGCAACCCCGGCGTGCTCTAGACCCTGGACGTTGGTTTCAGCCAAATTCACATTCACCCATTCCAAATTCACCCACACTACAGAGTACAGACATTAAAAGGCACGTTGCGTACGCGACTACATTCAGCGAACAAAATAATGGCGCGATAGTGATGCGGGCCAAGCGGGCCACATGCGCTCGCTCTCGAGGCGAAGCCAGGAACATGCCCTTCGTCACAAACCTACATGTTCTGGGACATGATGCGGGACACAATGCGATGTTGCAGGGCCATGTAAGTCAAGTGTTGAGCGTCATATTGAAAGAACAAAATGTTCCTTAGTGTATCCGTGGCCAAAACCATAGCGTACTGCTGTAGCGCATCCGTGCGTCACTGCGCCTGCGGTACAATCGTGATTGCCTGCATGACATCGACATCAATGACATCGAGGCGCGTAGGTATAGCTCGCGTTTCGTCCGTTTGGATAAATTTGGAATACTGTATGATATTACCGTGAATTTCAACTATTGATTATAAAGCTCTCGATAATGATACGAACGAATTCTTTTGTTAGAACTTTGGCGCCAAAACGCATTGAAATAGGTAGGTAGATAAGTAATTCAGAAGTCAGTGTGAAATATTATCTGAACGAGACTATACGTAAGCACAGAATCAATTTAATTCACTTTTTAAACATATCAGCATCGGTGACAGCGAGGCTGCTCGCTAACAATACGGGTGTGGCTCAGATTGTTAGTACATGACGTACATATCGTCTGGTTAATTACTTACAGGCAAGCATGACTTGTCAAAACATGGGTACCTAGTACTTACTGAGTAATAGTGGGTAAATGATAGACTGATAGAGTAGCGCAATACTGGCATAACAATTCCGCGCCTCGACCACGAATTAAACGCGACCCCTAAGGCTACCCACTGACCGAGCTTTTAGTAACGTACATATTAATATAGAAAAACTAAGTTCTTTGTAGTTTGTTAAGTAGGTACTTACGGATTGCTGGACTTCCACAGACGAGGGTCTGTTGTGTAACTACAACAAAATATGTTAAAAACCTTGTTTTGTGTACCTAGTACTTACGAAAAACTTACCTCACAATTCCTTGAAGGTTCTGGACCACTCCATGCATGAGGAGCCTTTCTATAAATCCTTTGGCCATTTATTTGAGTAAGAGTATAGGATGTATTATTTTCAGTAAGGGATAATAGTCTTGATGATAATTCATACTGATTCACTTCACTAGATGAATAATGCTTAACAGGAGGCATTTTTAGCCAATATAAATACTTTTCTTACAATAATATTAACGAAAATATTTTACGACG